TGAATACTTTGAATCGTTCACGCATGGCTAGAGATGTAATTTATATTTTCAAAAATCTCAGCTATGAGACTGAAAATTGCTGTCTGAAGGGTGTGATGTGTGTGTTTCTCTATTAATTTCCCCCCTGATTTATTATTGACAGTGTGGACAGAAATGTAAATGTCATAATATAAATCGCAAAGGGTGAAAAACAAGCCTTCCAGCTAAAATAATGAGACATCTTGGGACTAAATCCTTTCTTATTTCCTTTCTTCCTTCTTTATTATTTACCTGAAAAGACAGATCACATCTATCTCTTAGTTGTGAAGTTATTATCCATGTGTTTTTATGGTATTGGCTCAACAGAAGCCACAGTGTTATTTTGCCCAATAATATTTCCCACAATGCACTGCACAAATCTATTATTGAGGCTGCATCTGCCATGTGCTACTTTTATCCCTAGTGACCCTTCAGAGTTTGAGAAGAACTTAAATTCATAAAATCTTCAAGTGTTGACTGAAACCGACCGACGTGTGAGAAAAACAACTTATGCTTGTTTACTTGAACTTATGCCGATATGAATTTTGTTGGGTGTTTATGAGGGGATTGTCTTTGTATCCACACTACAAAGGTAGGATCACCTCTAATCTTTCTCATCATGTATATATTGTATTTGATCTGAATGTGATTCTTATGGACTTCACATTCATGTTGATGGCAGAGTCACTGTGGGCTTTGAGTGTGGTGTCATTTTCTTTTAAATCTACTGAAAAGAAAACTCCTTATTGATCAGGACGCAACCGCATTGAGGATTAATGATAGGGAATAAATGAAATATAGATTAAATGATAACTGTAGGAATGTGAACCGGAATCCTAAAGGAACACTTTCAGAAAGAGGAAAAGAAAGAAAGAAATGTGGAGCTGAATTGACTCTCTGAGGTTTAGAGCATTGATTAAATGAAATCCCGTTTTGATTATGGGAGAATGGGATTACATGGACGAAAACCCAGGAAAAGGAAATGCTGGTTGCTCACACTGCAAATGTCCGGACTAGAATCATTGCCACATCCAGATTGATTACTCACAAGCTCACAAGAAAAGCCAGGATGATTGAATTTCCATGCTGCATTGATGGACTATTCAAGCACTGAACAACAAGAGGATGAAAACCAATGGATAACAGTAGTGAAATCTGAGAACCAGCTATGAGTTTCTTTATTTCTTACTTTTTGCAACAGTTTGTTTCTCCTATTCACACATCCATTCTATATTTACCGTTCAAAAGATCAGGATTTTTATTCAGCAAAGATCTAATAAATCTAATTAGCAGCTAATAAATGCTAAATACTTTCAAATCACCAGAGAATCCTAAAAAAATGCATCAAAGTTTCCACAATAAATAAATAAATAATGAAGGACTGGCTGACTGACTGACTGAATGAAGGAATAAACAAGCAGCACAACTATTTTCAACATTAAGAATAAGAAATATTTCTTGAGCATATTAGAATGATTCCTGAAGGATCACGTGACACTAAAGACTAGAGTAATGATGCTGAAAATTCAACTTTTTTTACAGAAATAATTACATTTTTAAAAGTATCAAAAAATAAATATTAAACCATTTTAAATTGTAATAATATTTTACAATATTACAGTTTTAACTGCATTTTTAATCAAATAAATTAAGCTTCCGCGAGCATAGAAGACTTTAAAGGGGTCATATGGTGCTTTTTTAAAGATCATTATTTTGTGTATTTTGTGTAACAGAATATGCTGACATGCTTTAATGTTCAAAAAACACATTCTTTTTCAAATACTGTACATTATTGTAGGTCCTCTATGCCCCGCCTCTCTCAAACGCTTCGTTTTCGACAAAGCCCCCTCCTTTGACAAGCGCAGTCTGCTCTGATTGGCCAGCTGACCCAGTGCATTGTGATTGGCCGAACACCACAAGCACTCATTCAGAGCACTCCAAACTCCGCATTTGAACAGTCAATAGCAAATACTTAAACTAATAACAAAACAGTAGCTGATTCAGAAGTGCCAGATTGTCATAGCAAAGTCAGAATGACCTCCTCTCCTAGTTTCACGAAACGGTCGTCCATAAAATGCATTGCTGTTCTGTTGTAAGTAATCTTAAAGATTCCTAAATGCATCTACTTTCGGAAGGCCAAATAAAGTGCTTTTGCTTTCGCCTAGAAACACACAGCGTCTCCCTGACATGCTGCTTCAACACTAACTGCAGTTACTGAAACCACGCCTTCTTTCTCTGCGTGAACATTTGGGACGCATTATGCAAATATTTCCACATAGTGAGGTAGATATGTGGGGGCATGTTAGAACGAGCCGTTTTAGGGGGGCGTGGCAGAGTCTTAACTTTGATAAAGAATATCTCTTTGGTTTTGAGACTTTAGTCTTTGCAACTTCAGGGATCTTATCTATGCACAATCAGCTTGTAACACTCCAAAGAGAAAGGAAAACTTGAAATCGCATCATATGAACCCTTTAAAAAAAAAAAACATTAAAAAAATGTTACAAACCCCAAACTTTTGAATGGTAGTGTGTATATGAAATAATATTTTTAAAATGGCATGTATATATAAAGCTCTCTGCAGAGTCAAATATCGTAGACCGATGTTTCATAAAAAGTTTCAGCGTACAGTATTTCAAGCGATTCTAATTATTTCGCAAAGCAATTTATTCAAATACTCAGAAAGATTGGGCTGAATTCCAAATACCATTAGCGTACTTAAAACATTATTGAAAATGCACATGCACAAATGATTCTTCAATGAACAGCATTAAAAAAAATCTATTATTATTACCCAATACTCAGCATAACACATAAGCTCCACTCTTCACCACAACGGTAACTCCCAAAAAAGATAAAAACTCTCTAAATCCCAACATAACAGATCATTTGCAACACTAAAATGTCTCCCTCTTTTCTCATTCTACTCAACAGATAAAATAACACTTAATTTCAACATTTATTCTCCCCATTATGGCAATTCTGGGAACTAGAAATCCCCTGCCTGAATGAACAAACATGATTCATGTAATCTCGAAGCAAACAGATGAAATAAACTTTATCATTTTAAATTACTCTCTGACAAAGAACTGTGCTCCATTAGTTCATTCTGTACCTAACTTGAGCAGGTAGCAGAAATCTACTTTTGAGTAAGTGATGGCAGAAAACAACATATTCGAGGGACAGCAGGGCACTGTGTACACAAATGGATCCGACAGGAATTGCGGACAGCAGCGGTAAACATCAGCCGTGGCCTGGATTTACTGTACTAATGTCAGATGGAGGAAAAATACCCCGATGCGCTCTGAAGCGCCAGCCCTGCTTCGCATGGATTTATTTGGTCTCCTCCTTTTGTCCATGACAACTCCCATTATTTTAGGATCACTAACTGAGATGTAGTCAAATCCCAGTGATTCAAAACAAATTGGCCTGGATCAGCCACATTATTTTAGAATGGCTCATCACTGCAGTACGATTCCTGCGGGATGAGTCGGATTACATCCGACCTCCTTTCTGCTCCCCGTTTGGTACTTGTGTTGTAATTTGTTGTGGTAAAATGTCTCAAACTATGATCATCAAATTCAAATTAAGGAAATCAAATTCACTATCATCAATCACAGAAATCTTTTCTCCAGAAGGACTGACAAGATAGAGCTCAACAGTAACCACATGCTTTTTAAACAGTCTGGGTTTCAGAAGCAGGCTTAATTTATCATTCATTTTCAATGTAATCATTTCTGAATTTTTGTCAGTAAACAGTTCTAACCCTTGAACCAAATTAGCAATGAACCACAACATTTGATTTTAAGATTCAAAACAGTGTTTCAAAGGAAAACGTACAGTACTTCTTAAAGGAACGAGCAAATTATTTTTAAAAGATGGGTCAAATATATCTGTTTTTAGCAGTCTTAATGTTAAGAAATTCAACAAGAAATCACTAATATGTATTTTATTTAGGTAGCTAGCTATTAGCTTATTTTACCAAGGAGATCTAAAATACCTCGAGGGAGCTATCCATCAGCATGCCCATTCATCTCAATGGCATTCACTAAGCTAGGATGCCATCATTTTTGCATCATTGCTTCAGTTTCTGAGATGGCTTATTTTGAATGCCCTTTAATGTAGAAAACGGGCTTTATGCCTACATAATGGTATTGTATGGCTTCTACCTGCAGGATCTAAACCCAACACTATCTCACGACCAATTCATACGCATGTTGGATAATTCGTACAAAATTTGTACGACCTCACTCGTACGATTTTGTACGATTTGTGTAGACACCAGTGATGTGTAGGTTTAGAGGCGTGGTTAGGGGTAGGTCATTCATACGAATTCATACGAATTGGGGAACTCTTAAAATACGTACGATTTAGCAAAAATTATGAATTTGTATGAGTGAGATCATACAAATTTGTACAAATTAGCCACCTTTAGATCTTTCTATCTATATTACCTTACAGATGTTTGAGGTTGATAATTCTCTTATTCTGAACCAAGGCTGCATTTATTTGATCAAAATTTTACAGTAAAATCAGTAATATTGTAAAATATTTTTGCAATTTTATTCCTGCCATGCAAAGCTGAATTTTCATCAGTCATTACTCCAGTCTTCAGTGTCACATGATCGTTCAGAAATCATTCTAATATGCTGATTGCTATTCAAGAAACATTTCTTATTGTCATCAATGTCGAAAACAGTTGTGCAGCTCCATATTTTTGGGTTAACCATGATATAATCTTTATGATTCTTGATGAAGTCAAAAAACAGCTTAAAGTTCAAAAGAACAGCATTTATTTTAAACCTACCTATCTATCTATCTATCATTTTTTGACAAACTTTGCTTTTCTAGTTAACATTTCTAGTTAAATAATTTCTTGAATATACAATTCATTAAGATTGTGCATGCTTATATTCAAATTTTAATTTCAAATTGAAGTGCAGTTTGGTGAATTGCAATCAAATGTGAACAAAGGAGATTTGGGGTGTTCGGTGGTCACTTTTTTTTTTTATGGTCCGCCAACTGAAATAAGCACCACTGCACTATACAAAATAAGCAATGCGTTTCAGTACAGGCTCCATTTCACCCATTCATGCAGCTTTAATTACTGAACATTATCGGTTCTAATACTGCTGCTGTACTGCATAAAAATGCATGAGACGTTACCGGCACAGGCAGAAATATGACCATTCTGCTCACGTTATCTTTCAGCTATTACCAATTATTTCTGCTGAATAAACACTGTGTCAAGGGAGGAGCCACAAGGTGCATTTTCCTACAAATTAGTCAGGAAAGGACCTGTCCCCCTTCACATGAGCGACAGCGTAATCGATATTCCTCACTTTTTTAATGTCTAAAGCACAGCTACGGAGACAAAGAGGCGATTTGGTATTCAGCATTAACTGCTCAGAGCTGCAGTTCTGTAAGTTTTGGATGTCAAGCGAAATGCCAATGCAAGAAGTACAGGCTGTAGCAGATTGTGCAGATTTTAATGAAGATTTTCACCCCAGACAGGGCCGTTTCTAGCCAAACTAGATGGTTGCCTGTTAAGGAGATGCCAACAAGGGAAACAGTCCACCTATATGGCATTAAAATAGCCAGAAACAGCCTTGAACCGGGGAATTCAGGTCTGGTCTTTAATGTGTTGAAGCTCTGTGAGAAGGTGTAGATTGTTGACTGACTGCGGGAAAACCTAGAAAGGAAACAGAAAAAGAGATTTGAGCGTCTTTTTAGAGATCTAAGAACAAACTTTGAGTTTTTCAAAAGCACAATTCATCACAGTGCATTACTCAAGCTGTTTGTGGGGGGAAATGTTGTATAATGTATTATTAGTGATTTGGAGTATTTATCTAACAGCCCTCTATTGTTATTAGAGATATAATGCAGAATATAGCGCATGACCTTGTTTGGTAGTTACAAACGGCCTGTAAAACCCCAAACCCAAGTTTGTTTACTTCAAACAGAGCTTTTACTTTTCTAAGCTCTCAGCAATCAATTTTCACTTGTTAGACGATAAAATACACACAAAAAAAACTGAATATCATAAAAACTTGTGAATGAGCTGTTTAGAAACTAATTAAGCTTTAGCGTTAGTTCTGGCAGTTCACGCGAGTCAAGCTTGCATCAGCTGATTCTCAGCTGATCATATCTACCTATAGGAATACGACACCTATCGCGGCATTCCTATATAAGCTGTATTCAGTATTATTCAGCAGCTTTTCAGCTTGCTTCGGAGCAAATTACCCTCCTCCATCCCCAGCTCCACCCTTCGCCACAGTCAGGACTTAGCTTTCTGATATTCCTTGCTAATCAGACTCCTTTATCTTGAATAAAGTGTTACACTTAAATATCATTGAGTACATTAATGATATCTGCCTTGTTCTGTTCTGTTAACCCTGGGGGGGTTATTATTGCTGCTCTCCCTGCTCATTCATGACAGGCTGCATGGATGGGCAGGGAAGTTTTTTGCCCAGAACAGAACCATACCGCCAAACCAACCTTTATGCTAAGTATCTATCATTTTGACGATAGTGGTCCTGACAGAACTACAAAAACCTATGCACCACAATAACAACCACTCTAAAAACATCCTCTATCCATCTATGTCGTTCTACATATTAGGGGTGGGCGATAAACCAATAGACACGATTAACCGGTAGAGATTTTGGACTGTCGTCTCTATGGCGGTCACACGCTACATGGTCACAAAAACTTATCGCTTGCACGCATTTTATAAGAATTGTGGTTTGAAAACAAGACAGTGCTTATAGAGCGGAGTTATTTTTGCCACTTTATAGGCCTTGAACGGTTAAATATACACACTTTCATGTGTAAAAAGGCCTGTCTTTGCAAGTGAAACCAAACAGCTGAAAAAGAGCACACATGTGCAACAGTATATTGGATCCGGGCAGCTCTTAAAATGACAGCAGTCATTTTAAGAGCATTTAAAAAGCATTTTGTTTGATTTTTAATAAAACAAAAAACGGAGAACATCTCTCACTGCTCTTGACTAAATCACTTTTGTAGCTTTAATAAGAAGAACTATCTATCTATCTATCTATCTATCTAATTTTAGCAACCGCCTAGCAATACACTAATCACTCAGAACACAAAAGTTTGCAATGACCCCCTTTTTCTTTTCTAGTTTCCTATAAGAGTTTGTCCTCATAAATATTTCAACTCACACATTTTTGAAATTCGTGTGGCTTTGATCAACATTTTTTAATATCATCAAAGCCATAAAACGATTATTAAATTACAGCACACACCCGGCACACAGTGGCTCAATCTCACCTACTTTCCCTCTCCACCATTATTCACGTAGGTAGGTGTTAATTTAGGTCTTATGTAAAGTGTTGCAGTGAGACTCAGGAGGTTCGGTGTTATTCCAAGGCATTAACCCAAAGCTTTAGCAGTATAATAAGAATTAGCATTTCATACAACTTTTCATTGAGTATTACAATAATTACTGGTACAAGCCATATTCTGAAATATTAGCAAAATTATACTGCTTTATTAAGAGCCAAGACTTGTATTGTACGACATTTACAATGCACATTATGAGAGTTAAAATGATGATGACGGTTTCCTTCATTCACAGAACGACCATTTAAAAGTTCAAAGTTCTCAGCTCACAATTTCGCCACCTAATTTCAAATCGGCACGCTTACAAATTGATTATTTTAACATCAAGAGAAACTCTTCCTCATATGAAACCACGGTACTTAATGAACAGATTCTTATTTGCCCGCTGGGTGTCTTCTGACACACTCTGAAAGAGTGTTCATTATTGACTCATTAATGAAAATCTTAATTAAGAACATCATTCACGGCACTGCCATTCAAATGTGTGCTTGTCTGTTATGAGAACGTCTAAATCTTCGTTTAACTTCGAGTTAAATTAAGGCATTGCATGATGAACATTTATACATCTCAATGAAGTGGTAATTGGCTGTTTGTGTCTCAGAAAATGTACCGGCTGCAACTAATCACAGACAAACATAAGAATCGCTCTGCGTTGCAAATTTGTAGTCTATTGTCTTTCTGTGCATACTGTTAAATAGAGATGTTGCCATTTTTGTGCATTTTGGATTTATTTCTATCGTATAAACTAATTTGTATCACAATCAAAGACATACAGTATAATTATGACAAGATACATATCAGTAATACAGACAATCTACAACCTATGTCATTTTCATATAGGATAATTATTATGATCATTACTGTGAGTCGATTTCTTACTTTGGCTCATATCAGCTAAATCTGAAAGAAAATATCTCAAATCAAAAAATGAAATCTAAAAATTACACCTGAAATCACCTGAGTTAACAACCCACTAGTAATGATACACCTCTCCTCAACAAACTGCACAATTTGAGGCATCATTCATGTTTGCAGCACAAATGGTGTGGGACGAGTAAAGTTTAATAGGCTTAAGGATTTGATTCAAACTTCTCCAGACAGAACAGGTGTTTTTAGTTATGATGTTATGACTTAAGAAATTCAAGTGATCACTAACTAAACAGAGAGAGAAGGAGAGAGATGGGAGGAAAGAAGGCATGCACATATGCTCACTCATACACATGTCTGGCAGCTCACCTTTGCCATCTTCTGGTTAATAATAAAATAAAGCGTTTGAGATTGAGACTGTAAATCCAAGACCATTTTCAATCATCTGACCTGACATTTTGCCATATAAACAGACTATTTTTTCAGTTCTAGATTAAACAAGTTCTACAATGCCCCGGTGTGATATTTGTAAAGGCAGGGTTTTATCAGTAAGTCTATTTCACAGTTGACCTGTCTTCCCTGAAAATCAAAAAGCTCTCTATAGCCAATAAATTGGTGGCTTGAGCTTTTTGAGCTCCAGATAAAATGTTGAAAACTATCATTTTCCAAGAGCTGTAGGCACAAATCTCACTAATAATCAAACAACGCACGTTTTCACGATTCAACACTCCCATCCCAAAGTATTTAAAGTCATTCGCAAGTAATTTTACTTTCATAACGCGACATACTTCTGAGTGAAACAAACAGCATATTTACTGAGGAGAAAAAGAGGATATTATGCCATAAAGACCCTCTGAATGCATATTTGCATTTCACTGCTTTGCTTTTCCATTGTTGTTCTATTTAAACGTGCTAGGCGGACATGTTTGTCTGTTGCGCTAGCTTCTCACGCATGACAGCGTTTACATTTACTGTTGTTTGGCGAATTTTCGGGGTCAAAATGAAGTCATTACAGTTAAGTATCCTTTAGAGGGCAAAATATTTCCCTTTGCAAATTGTGCATGTCATTTAAGTTGGTATAATATAATTAATATATAAATTAATATGTGGTGATGAAAACTTTTTTTTTTAACGTGTATATCACCAAGTTTACACTAAAAAAACAGTCCATTACAATGTCCAAAACAATTGTCCTAGCAACAAGATGAACACTGCAACATAATAATATTAATACTGAAGTCATCTGAGGCCATTTTCATGATAATACATAGGCTAACTAAGTCGCAAGATGGCGGCAACTTTGTTTGTTTGAAAGAGAAAGAAGATATTTCGCAATCAGAATTGTGAGACAACTCGCAATTAGCTTTTTTAATTTTGTTATTCAGTGGAATACAAAAAAACTAATTGCGAAATGTAAACTCAGAATTCTGAGAAAAAAAGTCAGAAATGCAATATGCATCATTCCAATTATGATTTTAGAACTTGCAATTGCAAGATATAAACGTGCAATTCTAATAATAAAAAAAGTCTAGTTAAGATGTTGAGAAGAAAAGTTAGAATTGTCAGATATAAACTCGCAACTGCAAAAAGTTCAATTTGTAAGATAAAAAGTCACAATTATCTTTATTTTTTTAATTCGTGGTGGAAACAAAAAAACAGCATTTGTGAGATGTAAACTCAGAATTCTGATTAAAGAAGTGAGGACTGAAAGATGTAAACTCACAATTACGAGTTCAGAATTTGAAATGGCGAGATATAAACTCAATTGTGAGATTTAAAAAAAAATTGTTTTTCTATTTTTTTTTTATTCTGTGGCTGAAACGAGCTTCCATACATGTCAGTGTGATACGAGTAACATGAAAGTAGTGCCCGTTTCATGCTCTAATGCATTGCCATGAACAACAATGAATATTAGGAAATGATAGACCACTGGATTGGATTGGCAACTGATTGGTCTAAAATAACATATTTAACTGTATTTTATGAAACAACAAATCTTTAAGGTAATGTCAGACAAACATCGAGTATGAAATCTTCATATGGCGAGATAACTCCTTGAAAATGAATGAGGGAAGCATCTATGCTGCAGGCACTCAGGATTTACAGTTCCCATAAAGAAGAGGAGTGGAGCGAGACATTTTCTGTGGCCTGTGTACAGTCTTATCTCCACCTCTCAAACTGCTCTCTCAGGATTCTGATGACAGTAAAGCAGCTCTCCTGCATGAATTGAAGTGCCTTAATGCCTGCAATGGCATTTTGAAAGCCATTTCAGGGAGACCGTGAATTTGCCATCATATGGGTTGAGACATTACGATGGCAGATTTGGTCATAGCTAAAACTGACATTAATGCGGAACGGTGCACATTATTTGGATGTTTGTTTCAGACATATAAGGTCTAAGGTAAATGCTTTTAGATGTGTTTATTGATTTTGCACTCTGAGAACATTTAAGGCTTTCAAATCGACTCAGTTTTGCTGTTTTGTCTCCGGGAAGCTTCTTAAACGAGTTTGAGAACATAATAAACAGGTGATATTTCCTTTTCTCCTCCTCGTTTTCCATTTCCAAGAATAATATTGTTTATCCACCAGCTATTTTAGTACGTGCCATTTGAAGAAAAAAAGCTAATAAACAAAAGAAACCATTTCAGCTGAAGTATTCAGAGCTCTAGAGAAGCAGCTCTGAATTAAACATGCAAAATTATGCATGACAATGTAATTTTTTAAATGACATGTATGGAAAAAAAAGTTAAACAGGAAAGGAGGGAAAAGCAATTTTCGCTATCACAGTTCATATCTTCACCTCTTCATCACTGTTGCCTGAAAAAAGATTGGAAATTTGCTTGTAACTAGAAAAGAAAATCCAGTGACAAACTTACCTTGCTGTACCTGTACAATGAATATTGAAATGAAGTTCAGCCCAAAGGCTATTTTGCTTGGAAAATTAAATTATTACATGCTGGCCAATGTAGCCTGGAGCTGTGAGAGTTTAGACCGCTCTTGATCAGTGGCTCTCAACCTTTATAACTGCAAGGTCTCCCTTTGTCAAAGTCGATTTTCGAAGGCCCCCTACACAGACTGTGATTTTTCCTCTTGTAGTTTTGTTGAAAATAATGAAAAAAGGGTGCTTTTTTCAAAGTGCTTTAACCAACAGAATCTAGGGATTTCAACACATAAGAAAGCTGTAATGCAGTGGAAGTTCTCTCTTTTTTTTTTTTTACTGTGGACATTCTTCATAACATTATATAAAAGTTATATAACATTTTTTTTGTAAGTCTGTAAGATTTTTTTTAATGAAAGAAGTCTCGTATGCTCGCTAAGGCTTCTAATTAATTAATTGTAATATATTAAAATGTTCCTTTAATATCTAAAAAAATTCCATCATTTTAGCTTTTTGAAAATATTGAACATCATTTTAAGATATTTTAAGACATCGCTCTTGGAAATTTACTGAGGCCACCTAGTGGTAATCAGGTAATAAGAGAAGTTAGAAATCAACTTTTCTTGATGGAGATCAAAAATAAGTGATGAAAAGAAAAACTAAAACTAGGACAAACACAGGAGTGTAGTCAGCCTAAAAAAAATCCACACTCTGAAATAAAATATTTAGTTTGGCAATTCTAGTTTCGATATTGTTCGAAAGGTAGATGGAAGGGAAATGATTTTTTAACCAGAGTTAAAATGAAAAGTGGGTGAAAGTGAAGTTAGAGCATCTTTGTGTCTGTCTGATGACAAAAAATTGCAAATGTTTCCATTATAGAATGATGTCAAATGTGTGGTCCATGGAGATAGAAGCTGTGGAATTCTGTATTGTACAGCCATCTAGTGGCAGTACACTCTTAAAAATAAAGGTGCTTTACGATGCCATAGAAGAACCTTTTTGTCTAAATGGTTCCATAAAGAACCTTTAACATCTGAAGAACCTTTCTGTTTCACAAGAGGTTCTTTGTGGTGAAAAAAGGTTCTTCAGATTATAAAAAGGTAAGAAAGAGATGGTTCTTTAAAGAACCTTTGACTGAATGGTTCTTTGTGGAACCAAAAATGGTTCTTCTATGGCATCGCTGTGAAGAACCTTTTGAAGCACCTTTATATTTAAGAGTGTATATGAGTGGGATCCTTCACAGGAGATAAAAATGACATGAACATGAACTTAATTCACATTAACACCATTAGATAGTTTGATTGATTGATTGTTGACTGCTACTGGGTAACGTGTGTGTGTGTGTGTGTGTGTGTGTGTGTGTGTGTGTGTGTTCAATAATTGAGGCTGTCAGTTGCAATGATGGCTTTTAATACTGTTACAATACAACTGCAAAGAAAATAAGTGAGCACTATTCATAATCAGATAGCTTTGAAATAAAGTCTACATGCCAACACTGACCTCCTGTTGTGGCTGCATGGTCTGTTAACAAAGCAAAGGCTATCAGCTGATTGTTTCAGGCCCCATAAAACCTCAGTTTACACCTCAGATAGTCGAGACAAACCAACTGCCAAAACCACATCAGACAGTGACCAACAGAGACAGTATGTATCCTAAACCTTACAGGTCTAATCTACAAATACAAATTCCAGCTCTGGTCACCATATATTATAACTTGCAGTAACAGCACAGTTGGTGGTTGTTTATACGGTGCTTAGAACAAAGCAGAATTTAGTTCTGTTCATGCTGCTTATACAACATCCGGCATTTTAAAATGAAGTTTACCCCTGAAAATGTTCAATAATTAATACTATATATATATATATATATTTGTGTTTAATAATTATGCAATTAATATACTGCATTAAAAGACCATTTGAAAGATGTGACAATGTGCTCCAATAAAAATGTCATGATGAAAAACAACTCAAGTGTATTAAAAGTCTAAATAAATAAATAAAACATGAAAACAAACAACCAACATATCTTGTTTCAGTCCAATGCATTTAACCAATGAACCTGTGAGCAGAAAACCAGAAGTGAAAGTCTATTTGCATGAGCAGAGAGGAGTGAGTCTCTCGGAATAGAACAGCACGGTGCCAGATGTTCACTGCCCCAAAGGGAGCACGATTTTACATTCATAAATAAATGATGCATGCGACTCCTACCTGTCATAGGGGACTCAGATATGGCTTCATTCCCAGGAGAGAGCAGGACCTACTGGGAAGCATCAGGATTGCCTGGCGTATGGGATCTTGGCATGTGTTACTCTGCAGACATACAGCTCTCCTGTCTCCCAGCATTACTTGAGGAACTTTATTGCAGCTGAATAACCCATTCTGCTCACTTTCTTCAGCCCTCAGTCACCTCTGACATCTGACGCACACACATATGGAGGAGAAATGCAGAATATAGATCGATTTTGCTTTAACCACTTTTATTCATTATTTTGAACTCACTTAAAAAATGAACATTGCAAAAACTCTAATTTAAGGGACATCAAGGCAATTTCAATGGTGCACATAATATTTGTGTGAGATGGTAATATGCTTCGAATCAACAGATAAAATATTGTTTCTGAAGAAACTTGTTAGATAAAATATATAATTCATCAATGGATGTGAAATGTACACTAAATTGTTGAATGACTTCTATATTTCGTATATAATTTAGTTTTTTATATTAAGTTAATATAGTAAATAGTTCAACAGCTGCTCAACTCAACAACTGTATAATAACCAAAATAACTTAAATAATTGTGATCAATCAATTAAACAATGTTCATAAACGCTCTCCTGATATTTGTTCTCATCTATTTTTATAAATCTATACTCAACAAAGTAAAGTAGGTAGGCTAGTAACATCAACAAGTCTTTTTTTAAGCGTAAATTTTGCGGCCAGTTGCATAAACTGCTTAGACTAGTCTAAAAATTAGTCTATTTTCTTTGAAAGAGAAATGTTTGTTGTATGTATATATATATATATATATATATAAAATAGTGCTGATAAATGATTAATCGTGATTAATCGCATCAAAACTAAAAGTTTTTGTTTGCATAATATATGTGTATGTTCTTATGTGTATATATAAATACACATACAGTACATAATTTGAAAATATACATATTTATATTCATTTAATTTATATGATAAATAAATAAATATGTTTAATGTATAAAATTAACATATTTCAGAAATATATACATGCATGTGTGTGTGTATTTATATATACATAATTAATATACATAGTACACACACATATATTATGCAAACAAAAACTTATTTTGTATGCGATTAATCGTTTGACAGCACAAATATATATATATATATATATTTTTTGCACTGTCTATATGAAAGAGTAAATGAACTTCAAGTATTGAGTTTTTATTTTTGGGGGAAGAATTTATTGATGACTTGAAATCATGTTGCATGTGGATTGAAGAGAGCACAGGATCCTCTTTTTTCTTTTTCTTCAAAGCTTGTTATAATTTAAGTCAGTTACAAAAAAAAGGTAGATTAGTCTAATTTGAATCCTAAAAGACTGCTAGGTGGTCAAACTAGTTCTTAATAAATAGTGGCTATGTTTATGTAACTAGGACTTTCAGTCCCTCCCTGCAAATTTTTTTTTGCACTGTCTATATGAAAGAGTAAATGAACTTCAAGTATTGAGTTTTTATTTTTTTGGGAAGAATTTATTGATGACTTGAAATCATGTTGCATGTGGATTGAAGAGAGCACAGGATCCTCTTTTTTCTTTTTCTTCAAAGCTTGTTATAATTTTTTTAAGTCAGTTACAAAAAAAAGGTAGATTAGTCTAATTTGAATCCTAAAAGACTGCTAGGTGGTCAAACTAGTTCTTAATAAATAGTGGCTATGTTTATGTAACTAGGACTTTCAGTCCCTCCCTGCAAAATTTTTGAACATCATTGAACATTTTCCGCATGGAAACATTTCCAATACCACCCAACGTAAGCAGAAAATTTACACTGACAAGATCATTTGCATTAGTTTAGTGTTTCATACAAGAGCAACATTTAATGACAGTAGAGCTGACAACAGCTATGTTTTCCATCATTCCCATCTGCATACTGGCCATTGGTATTCAAGGTAGGTCAAACAAGCAATGCTTTATATTTTTAATCAGACATGATGAAGAGATTTCTAACTATTTATTTTACAGGCTCAAATGGACAAGTGACAGTAACTCAAACTCCTCAAGTCCTAACTTCTCAACGTGATGAAACGGTCAAAATAAACTGCAAAACCAACTCACCTGTTGCTGACTGTAGTCTCTGGAGGAACTGTGTGTTCTGGTACCAGCACAAACCTGGACACGCTCCCAAACTCCTCATTTATCTCATACGCGAACGCCACTCAAACATCCCATCTAGATTCAGTGGCAATGGCGCTCACACTGACTTCAATCTGACCATCAGTGGAGTCCAGAAAGAAGACGAAGCACAATATTACTGTATGACAACACACAAGATTGACAACAAGTATGTGTTCACACAGTGATAAAGGCTCGTACAAAAACCTCCCTCAGTCTCATTCACACTGACTGCACTGCTACACACCGCAGGTGCTGATGAGAAGGAAGTGAAACAGCACAACGACACACTGACTGGTTATAATACAATTTAGGATTTAGAGTTATTTTACATAGTTTTAGACTTTTATTAATTTAATGTGCCAGTGAAGCTGAGATTAAATCTAGATTATGCATTAGCGAATCTTGTTCATATTACAGATCAAGTTTTCAGTGCTATTTAACTATTTATAATGTTATTTTGGTAACACTTTACAATAAGGTTCATTAGTTAACTACATTAGTTAACATGAACTAATAATGAACTGCACGTATACAGCGTTTATTAATCTTTCTTAATGTTAATTTCAACATTTACTAATACATTATTAAAATCTTGTTAACATTAGTTAATGCACTGTGAACTAACATGAACATCTGTAGTTTGATTAACTAACGTTAGCGTAGATTAATAAATACAGTAACAAATGTATTGCTCATGGTTAGTTCATGTTAGTTAATATATTAACTAATGTTGAACTAATGAACCTTATTGTAAGGTGTTACCGTTATTTTTAATACTTTTGAACTGAGCTGTTGTTCTCCGTGATAGAAGACTGTATAAATGTTTTTTAATAACATTTCATTTACTCTAACATCCTTTTTTTTAATTATATTTAGGACAAGAAAACATTGTCCTAATGCTAAAAAATAGACATTTTACTTTTAAAAGCAATTAAGACCATTATGACAACACCATTTATTTACTTACAATAAATGAAGCAAAATCTATTTAATTGTCATGCTAAATCCTGGCCCATTTGTCTTATAAAATATAATATAAAATATTCTTACATTCAAATTAAAATCATATTAATTACAAATATTAATATAATTGTAAAATAATACTAGATTACTGAACAGCAACAGTAAAAAAAAATTAATAAAACTACTTTTATTTGCTTTATTTATTTTGAACTTATTGTAATGTCATTTTGTCATATATTTTTAAAAATGTTTTAAAAGTGTGTTTTTGTTTTATGTACCACGTTTGACTTGCTTAATCAAACTATGAGATTTAAAGTTCTGTTACATACTATATACAGAAACCTGTTACAATAATTTTTTATGCTTATATAATACAACTTGAATTATTTGAATTTTATAGGATATACAAAATAAAATATGATCATAGGTCAATACTGTTGCATTAGGAGCAAATCTCTTTTTGGCCTTAATTATCCTTCATACTATTATTTCTTGGCAGGATACTGTGCACTGTTAAAACAAGTTAGTAAAATATCATAATATATAGACTTTTATTTTTTAGTTTCTTTATATTTAGATATATACATTAACTTTAATGGCACAATTCTGGTGTTCAAGTGAAGATTATTTTCATGCGAACAGCACGACTGATACTGTGCACTGTTAAAACAAGTTAGTAAAATATCATAATATATAGACTTTTATTTTTTAGTTTCTTTATATTTAGTTAGATATATACATTAACTTTAATGGCACAATTCTGGTGTTCAAGTGAAGATTATTTTCATGCGAACAGCACGATTTGCATAGTCATTTCAGCGGAGCGCTACTGTCAGCTATATAATCCTGTGACTTTAACCTCATAACTATGACCTGCTTTTATAATAATCAAACCACAAAAAAAATGGCATTTTTAATTTTTCTCATCATCTTTTTTATGTCACTGACTCTTTCTGTTCAAGGTAGCTTTCAACTTTAATCTCTACTTTTCTTTGTTATATTAAAAAAAATAATAATGTCTAAATAATTGTATAACCATTAACAGACTCCAATCAAGTGACAGTGACTCAAAATCCTTCGAAGAAGACAGTTGAATCAGGACAATCAGTTACAATAACATGTCAAACCAGTCTTGATGTTGGTAACTGGTGTAATAGTAAATATTGTCTTAGCTGGTACCTCAAGAAACCGGGAGATGCTCCTAAACTCCTCATCTATCATGGACATATCCGATATTCTTCCATCCCATCTCGATTTAGTGGAAATGGATCTGATAAAAATTTCCAGCTGGTCATCAATGGAGCCCAGAATGAAGACAGTGGAGAGTATTATTGCTTCTGTGACTTAGGTGGTCATAGATTCACACAGTAATAAAGACCCGTACCAAAACCTTCTTCAAGAGCCTGCTGGGATCAACCACAGATGCCGTGAGAGGAAGTGAAACAGGTTAATAACACACAAACATATCAGTGGTGAAGCAGACATTTGATAGAAAACTTCATGTTTCAGTGGATTGGAAAATAAAAAGAAAACAAAAACAGTTTATATCAAACAGTACCAAGAAAAAGAACAGTACTAAAAAGGTCATTGACCTGTCCTGGACGAAAATTAGGGGTTAACCTGTGGTGAAACTGGGGATGTGCACATCGATGCTGCAGTATCGATATATCGATACTCAGAGGGTACTATTGTGGTATCGATATTTTCTGCAAAGTATCAATACTTAATCATATTAATAATTTCTGCATAACTATTGTTTTTAGCAGTGTGTGCAGGCCGATCGGGGACGGTATGTGTATGATATAAAAAAAAACGTTACATGAGTTTTCAGGGAGGCAAACCCTATCCAGGTACAAAGAGCAGTAATTAGTTAACTTATTTACTGTACTCCCTTTCTCTTTCGTAACCATTAGGCGAATAAGAATAAATATAAAGTGCGTGTGTTTGTGTGGGGTGTCCTGGTATTCCTCACATTATAGGGACAAAACGTTACTACAATTTTTAATACCAATACATTTTGATTTCCTGAGGACATTTTAGGTCTCCATGAGGGAAAGTTGAAGATGAAGAAAAAATGGTCTGTTCAAAATTAAGAAATAAGTAAAAGTATGCACAGTTTATGTTGTTGGTATTTTAGTTTATTTTATTAAGATTTGTCATGTTATTTAATCAATATTTTTTTGTAAAATATGGATAGTACAATAGAATGTTGAAGAATAAGAAGAGGCTGGCGTCAGCGCATCAAGAGCCAGACAAATCCTAGACATGGGCTACAAATGTGTCAAGCCACTGTGTTGCTCAGTGGTCCAAAGTCCTCTTTTCAGATGAAAGTCAATTTTGCATTTCATTTAGAAATCAAGGTCCCAGAGTCCCAGAGTCTGGAGGAAGAGTGGAGAGGCACAGAAACCATGTTGCTTGAAGTTTCCACAGTCAGTGATGATTTGGGCTGCCATGTCATCTGCTGGTGTTGGTCCACTGTGTTTTCTGAAGTCCACAGTCAACGCAGCCATCTACCAGGAAATTTTAGAGCACTTCATGCTTCCTTCTGCTGACAAGCTTTATGGAGGAATCGATTCAGATGAGTTGTTAAAAAAAATTATCGCAATGCGTCGCTAGATAGGGTTGTTTACCCATGCCATACTCCATTTAAAATATTTCAAACACGTCCTTTGCGTGTTAATAATTATGAATCCCTTTATGAGACCATAAAACTACATGGAATTTGTAGTTTGTTCACATCACAGGACAAAAAAGTGATACAATTTTAGAAAATTGTGAACATAAATTCAGTCATTTTAATAGAGATAGTTTAACTTTATTCAGTTAAGTAAATGCTCATGACAAAGAACTTCTTAGTGTATCCGACAGAAATGTATACATCTTTATGCATTCTACAAAAGTCACCACCA